CCTGAGATTCACGGTTTGGAACCCTGGCTGCTCACTTTGGGGCATTTCACCACCAATGCCCAGCTGTCCCAGCAGGGCACTCTGCACCCTCCAGCTGCCCCATTTCACACTGCCAGCAGCCCCTGGGCTCCCCCAGAGCTGGGTTACCCTCTGCCTGCCCAGGAGCTGCTAAACACAGAGAGGAGCAGCAAGCAGACAGATTAAAAGGAACTCTGACAGCCACAAACGTGGCTGTTTCTTTTCCAGGGATCTCCTGTCCAGGCCCCATAGCAATGTTCAGCACCCTGAGAGTGGCACATCCAAACTGGTGTGTGAGGGCCAAGGGCCCTTTAAAGCTGTGGAAAATCGTGACAGCACCTGTTTGCAGAGATTTATTTCATGTGGGTGCAATGCCTCATCCTTAAATATAATCTTAGGGAGAAGGTGTAGGAAGAATTCCAACTAATTTCATTAATTCCAGATCAGGGGCTGAAAAAAACCCACTCAAAAAAAATTCTGAAGCTCTTGAATTTGAAAAAACACCCAACTTTTTTCTCCCTTTCCCACATTAAGGCTAGAAGGTTGGGTTGAGACTGGAGCCATTATTTAGATTTGAAAAATCACCCTTCAAAAATACCTGTTCAGTCAAGTGCTGAGAACTGGAAAAACAGAGCTGGCTAAACACAGGTTAGAGTCAGAGTGATGTCCAAGGGGATTGCTCACCTCTGCAGTAAGCACAGCACAGCAACCACTTGTGCAGAACAGTAATTAGCCTCGGGCTGGTTTTCATGAGCAGGGGCTTTAGGGGGCTTTCTTGTGCAGATGGCAGCATCGCCCACTGCAGGGGTACCACTACAGTCTGGTCCAGGCTGAGCAGACCCTCCATAGCCTGGCAGAAACCCTGGCCCCGCTGAAGCCAGCCACACCTGCACAGGTTCAATCAGGAGGCCTTTATGCCTCCTACTTGAATGTGAAATAAAAACAAAGGGCTCCACTGTGTCCTGCCACTCTCCCCGGTGTCAGTCAGAGCTGCCTTGTTTGCTGTCACAGCTCCTGCTTTTGGAAAGGAGCACTCTCAGGTGCACACACCCACCCTTTCTCCAGGCCACTGTGTATTTTCCAGCTTAGCAGGTTATCCAGACGTGTGAGAATGTAAAGCAAAGGCCCATGGCAGCAGTGGCTGCATGTCCTGCAACAGCTGCAGGGACAGCAGGGACACCGTGACCCCTCCACGTGCCAAGAGCCCTCACACGCCAACAGCCTGACCTTCAAACCCTGCTGTCCTTGTAAAAAATCACCTTACAGCACGCCACTGCCTCTCCTTTCCAACGAGGGCTGCACGTTGGTGTTTTCACTGCTGATTTTGGTGCCTGCTGAGCACTGGTGCCCTGCGCTCAGCGCCCATCGCTCACACTCACAGCTCCTGTGCTGCCACCCTGCTCAGCGAGAGCCTCCCCACCCTGCAGACACTCCACTACCGCTCCTGCTGCTGTTCAGATCCTCAATGCGTGTATCTGGTTTCCAATAGTACTCAGGAAAGGTTAGAGCTTGTTTTAAATAGCTCAGCCATCTGTCCTGCGGTGCCTGATGGGAGCTGCAGGCACCCAAGCAGCCAAAACAGAATTTTTCAAACTGTCAGTTTCTCATTACAAACATCTCAGCTTGAAACAGACCCGTGTCCTTAAAAAGAAAGTTAAGCCTATATATTTCTTGTGCATTATACAAACACTGTGAGTCGTGCTTTAGCAGTTTCCTCGTGTTGTTGGAATTTCATCAATGCAAATATTGGGCCTGAACCTCACCAGCACCAGGCGCTTTGCAAACCTCATTTGTGTATTCTGAGGCTTTGAACTAAAAATTACTTATTACAAGCACGACACAGAACCAAGAACCCAAACAGCAGCAAGGAAGGCACTTCATGAATGGAAATCAGGCACATGGACCTACATCAGTTCCTAATGTCAGCTGAAGCCCTGGATTCACCTATTCTAGGAAGTTAAATCAATTTATTCACTTCATTCACAGGATTCACTTTCATAATTAAACGTTCATTTTGAGGGAAATGAGTTGAGAGCACACAGGCCAGCTATGTGCAGCAGCTGATACCCACAATTGCTAATACACTGCTGGAAAAATAGAAATGTATGAGAAGCAAGCAGTGTTTCCTTAGGCAAATGCTGTTCCACAACACACAACCAAGCATGGCCCTGCTGGCACCTGCCCCATCATGAAAATGCTGATTGTGCCCCTAGCACTGCCCTGGAAAACCCCTGGGAGTATCCAAGGAGATGAGAGAGACAACAAATATATATTAATCAGAACAACATACCAAAGTTTATTGATTACTTCAAATAAAAGTTTCTGTAATGAAAAAAGAGCAAGTTGCATTCATAAAAGGTAACATTCACATTCAATTTCCTTGATATAAAGCAACATAAATGTATAAAATTGCATTAAAGTGAAAAAAATGTAAGGTTGCAGTCCTTTTTCTTTGCAAGAAGCTGAAAATGTATCTGCTCATTGCCTGTATATAATTTACATTTTCTATACACTACATGGTTTTTTAAAAAAATTTATAGCTGGGAAATTGGATAAATGGTGCAGTATTAGGAAAATTTTTCAACTGTGTGTATACAAATTCAATTTGAAGCTTTTATGCAATTCCAAGTCATTTATAATATTCTCATAATGATTAGGATTAGTTTTTGAGAAGTCGCTATGACTACACCAAGCTCCGCTGTTATCACATAAGAGTTTTAGAGGTAATCTTAATTACTTTCCTTATCTTTCAGTGTCACTAGTCAGTGATAAAACTTCAACAAATTACGATGAGAAAAGCCCAGCCTTTTTTCCTTCAAGTTCCTCCACCGAAAAGCCTGTACTGACCTTTACAGTACCTGAGGGCACCGTGAGCGCACCAGGGACCCCACCAGAGCACCCCTGTGCCACTGCTGTCCTGCTGCCCCACACCTCACAGCCGGAGCAGCCCCTCTCCTGCCCCTCTCCAGCCTCAGGAGGGGCTCCTGTGCCCCCCGAGTCACCCACAGCAATCGGAATTCTGGCTTTGCCATTGCTGGGGGACGAGGGTCAGCTCTCCTGCAGGACCGGGGCAGCCTGGCTGCCCTGGCACCCAGCCCCACACCAGCGCACTACCTGAAGATCCAAGCCCAAGAAAAACCGCATTTTCCCCCAAAAGAGCTGCTATTCAGGACATTCCACATGAATTCCACCCTGCACACCTTGGGTTTGAACGTTCAGCTATTGCAATGGCTTGTTCTGGCTGGAGACAGGACACTTGGAAAGGCCAAGAGAAAGATTTGGTTCTCAGAAGGCTCTGGCTTGAGACAGGCAGCAGGAATTATCCTGGTTTTGTGACTATTTGAACAGTTCACACACACGTCAGGTTCCACTGCTCCCACTGACACCAATGGAATCCCAGGGGAGCAGACTCTGACCCCTGGAGCAGAGCATGACACAAAGCACACTGAGAAGCAAGGTGTCAAGCTTGGGACCATTCGGGCTTGGAATGGTTCTGAATCACAGGAATGAGGCATTTTAGTGCCCATTTTTCAGAGGTTATGTAAACACAAGTCAGCAACCGTGTATTTAAGGAGAATGGTTAGATTTGGCATATAGAGCACATCTCCATTGCATTCATCACATACTTGATCTGTAGGCACCACATTTCTGCAGGGAAAGCTGAGCACGGGACAAGGGCTGCAAGTCGAACTCTAGGTCTGTGAAATGAGCTAGGAAAATGGGAAAAGCAAACAGAAGCAGGAGATGAGGGCTTTGCCCGTGGGCACATGCTGGCAGTGCAGCTCCTGCCCCGCATGCAGCAGGAGCCGAGCGCGGACGCTGCTCGTGCGAGGCCAGTGCAGAGTGTACGGCACAGTGCTCCTGTCCATCCTTCCATCCATCCCTCCCGCGCTGGGCGAGGGCAGGGCAGCCCCAGGGACTGAGCACTGCCCTCTCCCACTCAGGTAAGGCCATCCAACCTCCTCATGATGTACCAGAGGATCTGCCAGCAGCCGATCCGCACCAGCCGCAGCCGAACCGCAGGGACGGCAGCCAGAGAGCAAGGCTTGGTTCTTCCAACAATTAACAGCCTGCAGTTCCACAACATTTGGTGAGGGGAATGTTCTGTCTGTCCCAAATGGTTCCGTTGACCAAGCTGAGCGAGCAGGAGCCAAACCCAGCGGCAGTGCAGAGATTGCTGCTTCTGAAAGGAGCCCCAAGCTTCTCCCAGCAGCTCCTCTGGGGAACATCAGCACGAGGCAGGACTGCCACAGCACCCAGCAGGACACACAGCCCGCTCTGTCACTGCTCGTGACTTCACACAACAAAACAAGCTGCTCTTGCCACACATGAAGTATCAGACAAAAAAAAACATTGAGAGTCAGGCATCTCACCTTTGCTGTGCAGAACCTAAACAGGAAAGTTCCTACTACCATGGTACAGGTAGATTTGAAAAGAACATGCCAATTTAAAAAAAAATGTAAAATGAAATCAGGTTCATGTATTCAATTTCAAACTGTCTTCTTTTTTCTTAGTGCAAATAACTCAAGATGCAGTTTCATGCACCTGCAGGTTGACAGGCACAGCCCATGTCCCTGGGATCAGCCAAGGACCATGCTGACCCTCACCCTCTAAAGTGTTGGAGCCACAGCACAGTGCAGTAATGCAAGCACAGCAGAGGAGCCTGGGCACTGGGGCTCAGAGTCTGGCACAGCCCAGCTTCTGGGATTCCTTTTTCCCCCACAAAGCTTCCTTCCATCACAAACAGCCACAGAACAACCTTTTCTTCACTCTGCAGCAGGAATAAACCCAGCAGCAAACCGCTTGTGGGAGGATGCTCTGGCACTTCCAGCACTGCAGGTCTTCACACAGACACCACTGCTGTGGCCAGACCAGACTGTTTCCAGCTCCACCTGCAGGACAGAGGGGCAAAGGTTTCTCCTGAATTCTCAGTGATCCTGCCGTGTCCATGTGGGCACCCGTGGCTGGGGATGGCAGCTGCCAGCGAGGCAGCACAGCCCAGCACCAGCACCAGTGGTGCTCCAGGGCTCAATCCACCTTCTGAGGGCAGCAGCCTCGTCCCAGTGCCTTCAGGGCTGCAGGGGAATGTTACTGGGTTGGAGTCTGTGCTACTTCTTTGGTCAGGCAGAGCAGGAGCGTGAGCAGCCCTGCTGCTCTGGGGCACATCCGCAGCGGGCACAGAGCCCCAGAGAGATGGGGCTGGCACTGCACTCCTGCATTCGATCCATGCTGTTGGGGTGAGCTCCTAACGATGCTGTCCCAGCTCCAATGATGCAGGATTTGGCAGAACTGGTTTTTCTGGGAGGGCAGGGAAGCCTCAAGACCAAAGCCTGACGTGGGGCCAGTGCCCTGGCTGCTCTCCCAGCAGGCTGCTCGCAGTCCTTGGTGCCATCAAAGGTCACTGCCAGGTTAAAACCATGGGTTCCTACAGCAGGACAACGTTTGTGTGGAGCACTTTAAGGTATCCTGAGAGGATATCTTTCTGCCAAATTAGTAACAGCATCTTCAGCCTTCACATAACCATTCTCTATACGTTTGTATGACACTAACACAGGCAGATCAAAGGGGCCAGCCTGCAAAAATCAGAAGGACAACAAACATGTATTGCAACTGTTACATTCCCAAACCCATAAACCTTTCCCTGGGTTATTAAAATAAAATATATAGGAGAAGAAGAATGATTAGGCCATGATAAAAGTGCCAAATATCATTCACAACCAAGTAATCAGATGATAAATAAATTTTCACAATTTGCAAAATGCTGCATGAAGTCCAAAAGTGGCATCTGCTCCACTGTCCCCTATCCAGCCACTCCCACACCAGTCTGCACCAGTGTGTGGCGGTGGAGAGCACCACCTAACGTCAGTGCGGAGGGACTGGCTGCACTGGAGCCGGCAGGACTGGCTGCATTAGAGCCGGCAGGGCTGGCTGCATTAGAGCAGGCAGGGCTGCTGCATTAGAGCCAGCAGGGCTGGCTGCACTGGAGCCGGCAGGGCTGCTGCTGGCCCTGCCATGCCCATAAATCTGACTGCTTTAGCAGCAGGGGTGGGCACAGAGGTGCAAGAGGTTCACAGACCGTCTGCAGGTTTATGTTTGCAGCTCACCACACATAACATCTCCCCTAATGCAGAATTGTGAATTCAATTAGGCACTTTTACTTCTCTTATTCTGCTGTTGGCTTACTACAGAGTTTAAAATCAACCCGTAGGAGGATGCTCTGTGTGTGTGCAGACACACGGACACCCAGACAGGCCTCTGTCCCATGTGCTGACACACACAGACAAGTCCGTGTGTTTAGTTCCCATCTGTGCAGATGAATTAAAACATACTTATTTCTATCTGACAGAGCAGCATGCACCCTAGAGAAAGGGATTCTGGTACCATTCAGATGCAATACTGGAATCATTTTAACAACTGAGATTTCCATCCTTCACTGTAAACCTATCAGCTTTTATAACCAATGTTAGCACAATTCAGGTTGCACTCTCACATTAAATTTTGTGCTAATATTAGACTGGAGTAGCAGTTAAATTGAAAGATTTGTTTACATTTTGCCAAATACTTGAAAGGATCTGTACAGATATGGGATTCTGAAGTTGGATAGTACATCCCCAAATTAAAATGCATCCCAAGCATTGCATCTCCATTCCACAAGGACAGGTGCCCCACACCGAGAGCCAAGAGGATTACAAGAACCACGGTTTAATTGATTTGGAGGGGGTTACATTTGGTTAATCAATGCCTTTAAAACCATCCCAATCCTCAGGACAGGGTACCTGTTACAACACATTAGACTCATCTGAGAATGTTCTTAAAAGAAGAGGTCTGACAGAAGGTCTGGCCGACAATGAATCAGGTGCCCTCCTGCTGCTCTGCAACAGCGAGGCAAAGAGACACATAGCACACAGCCCTGAGCCTGA